TGTTTGTACCCCCAGCGGTCATTCATATCATAACGTTTGTGTCTACAGTACAGTCTGCGTATTGGATTCTCTTCCTGCTGGTGCTATCATTTTTGTTGGGCCTGGTCATTGGCAAAACACCTGTCCAATTTAAAATCCATCCACACTTTTTTGATGAGAGTTCTAGGCTTTGGGCTCCAGTATTAATGGGAACTCTGAGTGCTGTGCAGCTACAGGGAAGATATGTGCTCTGAGGAAGCAGGGGTGCAGGGGTGCCGTGCACATGCACAGCGTACAAAGCATGCTTCTCATTATTTGTTCTAATTGCTTCATTTTCAGACATGTTCCTGCAGAGCAAAAATGACTCTTCAAACCAAGGGCATGCTGAAGCACAGACATATCCTTAGTTCCATTTTGACTGTGTTGCACTCCTCTTATTTTTCCCCTCTTTAACACACCAGGACAATGTCTTCTTTGCAACCCATTGTTCCTCATTTTCCATCAAAATTAGAGCTCATACTCCCCTATCAGCATTCATCACTCATTTTCAGTTAGGCACCTTCATGCTTATACAGTCCCCAAGGTGGCTGTCCAAGAAGAATTGAGAGCAACTTTGTAACAGGTAGCATTTGAGCGCAGGAGCAGCTCATCCAACTCACTCTTTTTCCACCTACTTGAGCCAGCTCTGCTACTCTTGGCTCTCCTCAGGCCAACAGCTGTTTGCACACTGTGCCTTGCACAACCGATACCCTGAGCAGACACACGGCCTTGTGAGTGAGGCAGATGTACTAGGTGAGACACCCAGGCTTTAATCTCACGCTTCACAATGGACCTGCTCTTTTAAGTCCTCTCTAAAACAGTATCCTGCAGGTTCCTGAGAAAACTGCATTGTAGTTTCAGACAATTCCAGATGCGAAGTTGTGGGTCAGGATCTACCGAGGCAATGGAAAAAAGTTCAGTAACACTCACCTCTTTGGGTTTTTATTCACTTCTCCCTTAATGGCAACTGTGCATCCTGGATGTAGTGCAGTATCAAGTTTCCCAACGTATGGAACTCCCTGGAAGTACACCACTAGTGAAAATTTTGACTGTGACTTTCTTTTTTCAATATACAAGCTGAGCTTAACTATAGCAGGAAGAAATCAGGCCTTCAATTATGGATCTGCACTTACAGCTAAAGTTATTTATACACCAGTGTGTTCTGGGATACTAAGACTACAGTGGAAAAGTTACACTGAGATAAACATAACAATGTATTGGGTTTTTTCTTTAGACTGACAACAAAATAAACACCATTTACAAGAACAACTACCACCAACAGTGAAAGGAGGGGGAGGGAAAAAAAGGTAACCAAGAAACTCCCTGCACTAATGCAAATTTGTATCACATAACCAGTCCAAGACAGACATACTGACCTCTCCTCTCTGAAAGCTTTAGGGAAACTTTAAGGCTCATGCTAGGTGTGTAGTTCCACAGCTGTGTAAGTACTAGAAGTAGGGTCATGAAGTATTCTCTCCTGGCACCAGTGCATAACAATGGACAGTTCAATTATTTTATCTGTCTTTTTTTTTTTTTTTTACTGTGTTACAAGTTATTTTGATCAAATAAAAGGAGTGAATGGAGAAGTACTTCTTCATTTTTCTGAAGTTCACCACATGCAAATGTAAATTTGGCATGTTATTTGGCTTTGAAAAGACTGAAGACAGTTAAGTGACACGGCAACTAAAACCATGGCACTCACTGTGACTCCACCTTCTCCACAAATTCTATTTGTGTATGTTCCTGCCCCCGAACCCCTTTCCAGTCTGAGCACGGCCCTTCCTCCAGTCTGGGTGCAGTCCACCTGTACAGCTTTCCACAAAAAGATGAGCACTCTGTGCGTGCTCCATGTCAGCTGGGTGTGAGTTCCAACCCTAAGGTGCGATACCTGCAACCAGCTCATTGGAGCTGGACCTCTGAAGGTCCCTTTCAACCCATACCACTCTATGAAGTGTACACAGTGTATGCAGAGGAAGCATGGATCTGTCAGCAAAAGGAAGATGTGGCCAGACAGGTTCTGAGATACACACACTGACATGAGGCCATTTGGCATAATACAACTGCATAATACTTTTGTTTTGCAGGTATTCCCTAAGGTGGAGAAAACAAAGTATACTTGTTTGAAAAAAGTTTTTAGTGTGATTTGGTCCTTTAAAAACTCAGGTAAAATTCTGGGTTTTCTAAATGATTTAACAAATAGCCTCACTTTTACTAGCAGCAAAGAGGATTGCCCTCTACAAAACCTCACTGAAGATATCTCCCAGCAGATTCTCAATTCCCTTGCTCTGTGCATGTTTTCTCATTGATAACTGAGAAGGTTTTATTTTAATAATTTTTACTCTTCACATTTGCCACAAGTCTACAGGAGACACTTACAAATTGTGAACCATCTGGTATTTCCCCCTACAAGAGAAAACAAACAACATTAACTATCTTATCAGACAACAGAGATTCACTCAACCTTTTACAAACATACGTACATTTTCTGTGTTTATCTTTGTTACTCCTAGAGATGATAGCTGAGAGCCTTGTAAAGACTGCAGAAAGAGAGAGATTTGGGTTTCATTGCTAACATCATAGAACTTTAACACAAAGTTAGTTTAGACCCACATAAAGATCTGTGTTGCTTTTTTAGAGTGAACTGTTAACATGGAAATCTAAGGCTATAGTAAAGAAAAGACAGCCAAAGCCCTACAAACCAAGGAAAACTCTTGAAGATCAATTGTTGAAGCCAAATCAAGGTTTCTAAAGACCACCTCATTACAGTTTGAATTTTAACAGCTCTTAGCCTCTGAGGGTACCCACTGAGCTTTGCTCACAGGGAAAGGAAGACCATCAAGGCAGGTAAACAAAGGGAGCCTTGGGATTCTAAGCAGCCCCCTGCATCCCTATCCTCTTCCATGGGAAGGACAGGTGAACAACATGGCCATGCAGAGGTAAAGTTCCAGCCTAGCCCTGGTAGATAGTGTCTTCAGCTTATTTCAATACAAGCCTCCACATCCTCCTCAGAAGAAGAATATATTAGAATAAAGACAGGAAACAATTGCCCTGCTCCATTCCTTTCTTCCCCAAAACGATACAGCATCAGCAGCCACAGACAAAAGCAACTCTGTTCTGTTTTGTGCTTGGGACAGAAACCAACCCACAGTGCCCATCAGCTCTTCTTGGAGTCAGTCCTCCAAGACCTGGACTCAGAGAGCTCTGAAGTAACATTATTCTGGCAACGTGCCCAAGGCAAAGTGATGGGCCCCACAGAAGTCTATACAAAGGTTTTGCAAATGATCAGTGAGTAGGTATATCTTTAAAGCTTAGACCCCATTTTGTTCAGGCCCTTATCTCCACCTTCTATCAACACAGTTATAAGTCTGATGACCTGAGTTAGACCTATTTGACAGCAAGAGACACAAGTTTTGCCCACAATGTAGTGAGGATGGGGCAGAAGAGACACAAGATGTTACACAGGAGTAGGCAGGCTGTCCTGGTGAGTGGCAGGAAGAATTGGAAAAGGCATTCACCTTCTATAGCTCCTTGGGATTTATCACCTTCGGTTTCTGCTCTACAAGTCTCACCTTCCACAGATCAAAACATTGCTCAGCTTCTCCCTTTCTCTAGCAGAGCTGGCAGCTGAGAGGAAGCACAGCACTGCCTTCACTTTAAATTCACTGCAGTTTGGTGCAAGTGCAAAGTGAAGCCACAAAGTCTTTCAGAAAGGACACCTCACCTCTCAGAAATAAACATACACTCCTGCTTATCACTTCACTCAACAATTCAGTCATTTTAGCAGGAAGAACAGGGTGCACAAGCAGTTCCAGCTGTGGCAATTTGAAGCCAAGCAATAAGTTACAACCATGGCTGAACTTGTGACTTAGAAGCACTGAACTACTGAGAGCTCATTTTGGAGCTCCTGCAATAGTTGCAAAAGTATAACTCATTTCCAGATCCAGTATCCAATCAATTCTTATACCATCTGTCCTGTTAACTTTCAAGCTGTAAACTTTGTCACCCTTTTGCTCCTAACCTTAAGACTGAAACACGAAGACAGACAGCATCACATGAGGCTTACGTGTTGAAATGCAACGGGAAAAAAAAAACCTCTTGTTACTGATATTAGACTGTGTAGTTGCTTTTTTTCACTTCCTTTTCACCATAAATCCTACTCTGTAGTTTAGCAAGACAGAGAAAAAGAATTGAAAAAGTCAGCTGTCTATATGACTTACATTAGAAATAAAATCTATAGTTTTGATGTGCACTTTGCCATATATTCCAAGAGTATCTATTCTTTCAAGGCTAATTCTGTGGTTGTAGATCAGCAAGTGCTTCTTGTTTACAGTCACCTAAAGAGAGAGAAAACAAAACAGGAAAGCTGTATTAGCCATCCATTACACTGGCCATGTATCAAATTGTATGCGTGTATCTCTGTTTTACACCAGCTTGGTACAGAAGCAGGGAGTGTCCTAGAAGTTTCAGAGCAGCTAAGTTCAACTCATCCAAAATTTAGTCTCTCTTTCCATCAGTATGAGGCAGATCTTTTTGCCTGCACTAAGATTTGCATTTCACACCTTTTGCTTCAATCACCTGATCATTTAGCAATGTGGCATTAGCAATCGAATAGGATCTATTACTGCAGTCCAACAGAGCAAAACAAATACACCTCCCACATTTCCTCCTAGAAGAATGTCCCACACTAGTCACAAATGGGTTTATCCTAAGGTCAGCCCTTTACACATAAGAAGGGAAGGGTGGAGTAGCCATTGTCCAGCTTTGAGGGAGGCAGTACTAAATTAAAAGTCTGATTTACTCAGTGACTATTTAAAGAAAAGCTTCTGAAGTTTTCTGTAGACTATACCTGGGTAACAGAGAAACCAAAGATTCTAACTATGTATTAAAAGTATACAAAATAACTCTATTTTTTTGGCCTGACAACTGGCTACAGATAAAGAATTGACCAAGACTCACCTGGAATTTATCCTTTAAAATCATGATGACAATCTCAAACGACTTCCCTTTTTGAAAGGGCATCTCATAAGTGATCTCCTCCCAGCCCCACTTTTCCCCCTCCAGTGTGTTGCAAACGATGCAGCCAGACTTTTTGAAGCGGGGGTTGAAATGAAAAGCCACATCAGCTCGAGGTTTTATGCTGCTGCCACACTGTAAATCCACCTGGAACCTAATCATAAAAATAAGACAAAGCACATTCAGCTCAGTCTGTCAAGAAATCACCTAGAAGTTCAATACACTTGTGTTTTACTGTGGAGTGTCAGGACAGGCAGACAAGTGAGCGTTGTTGGATAAGGAAAAAACCCAAACAGATATTTGTCCATCTTGCACAGTTCTTTAAAAGGTTCTCCCATGATTTACTGCAGTGAATTAAAATAAGTATCTATGTAATGGTCATCTTCCATATCATGTAAGCTCCTCACTCACTGTGTTCACCACTTTCCCTCCCATCGTCTCCAGCAGAACACGCAAATCAACCTTGGGCAAAACTGGGCAACAGAACCTCCATGCTGGGCACATGCACTAGTCCATACCTCCTTACTCCAGTTTAATTTAGTTCCTTCATGCAGCACATTCAGTTATCAAACTTGCTAGCCTCAGAGAACCTCTTTAGACAAGCAGACATATGCCATGACAGGGAAAAGAAATTGCCAAAGCAGGCAAAACAAAGAGAGAGAGGAGAAAGCAGCAGAAAGAAAAAAATCAGTTAATCCTCCACTTCTCATTACAAAGCTTTCATTAACCTTTTAAGCCTGTATCCCCTCTGGCACTACCACAAGGATTTAGACCAAGCTTCTGTGTCCCATCGTAAGTAGGACCCCTGGAAACACTTTATCCACTACATTCCTGTTCAATTGGTGACGCTGCAGAAAGTGACATTGTAGCCTCTACCTGTCTGCGTCGTCAGGAACAGCCCCGTGTATCACAATCAGCTCTCCAGGAACAAGACCACCAAGGATTGTTCCAACATATGGAATGACCTAAAAGTGGGGAAAAAACAGAAGAAAAAAAAAAAAAGATTCAAATAACATTTTGTGATGAAGGCAAAACAACCCAGAACAGTTTTCAAAATAATATTCTAGCATTTCATGTAAAAGAAACAGTAGAAAAACCACTAAATACCCACCACAGTGGGAAGGAAAAAAACCAGTAGATTTTCACCTAGGAAAATCAAGCTTCTCAGATAAAATTAAAACTAAAATTTCCAATCTCCATTCCTAGCTCTCAAATGAAGAGTGGTAATATTATATTGCCTCATTTACTAGTGTTTAAAGAGGATCCACTTCATATTAGGTCACTGTCAAGTGCTGACTATGATAAGCCCTTTGCTGGTAGCAGGAGACACCTTCCACAACCCTTCCGACCCCAGATTACAGCAGCTGCCTTTTTACTTGTTCTTGCTCCATTTAACAGGGCTGGGAAACAAGAAACTCTATCACAGGCTGTCTCTTTAGTAAAACCTGCAAGGCAAACCACAAAATACTTCACCCAAATGAGGTAAGACCTGCAAGGTGCACTGAAACATTCCTGTTCACGGGTGTCGGTCTTTATGGTGTCTAGAGTAGGCAGCCTGTAGGTACCACACAAAGCCTGTTTGCCCCTCCATACCAACAGCTGGAGAAGGTTGACACATGCAGGTTATGCTAAACTGAAAAGGCAACACCGTAGCAGTTGTTAATCCACGTGAGGGGACATTAAAATAAAAAACCCAAATGCCCCAGCACGGCTCTCTGGCAAAGGCTCAGACATGCTGCTAGAAGCCCTACCCTGAGCATCAGCTAGTGCTCACACCATTTCAGGGAGGGAAGGGAAACACCTTAACAGAAAGAAACCTGTGGAAGTTGACAGAACACTGATCTTAGAGCAAAGCTCTAAGTCTGCATCTCATCACATGTACTTCAGATTGAAAAAAGAAGTAAAAGGTAGCAAATGTTGCATTTTTTCTGGTTGACAGTCAAAAATTTCTGCTACAGTTGTTTTTGGGTTCTTGTTTCCCCAGAAAAATCCCTGATCTGTGGAACAGTGTATAGGATTTTAAGGCATCTTTGAAATGAAACATCAATCACAAACAACAGTTGCAATAATTTAAGAATAAAAAACGAATAGGCTGGAAATACTGTTCTTGAATTGGACCATAAAAGAATAAGCTGAGATTTTTATTTTTAAAATATATATCTGTCTCATCATGTGAAACAGGAAGATATGAAAAGGGGATTTGTTTGCTGACACATATTATTGTGAATTTGTGAGGAGGGAAAGGGGAATTACAGCAAAAATTGTTTAAATCCAGAGTGTTGATCATTTCTGCTCATACACATCCTCTTCTGCCCTTTCTCCACTTCCTTTTTCAGCTACCCACTCGCTGTAGAAAACCTAATTTGCAGTCATCTTCTACATCAGGCAAAACAAACTTAATGAACTTGCTTCTCAAGCATAAGCTCACAAATGGCCAAGTTATTTTAAGCCTTGTGTGTTTTTATTGCCTTAAGCAGGTGCAGCAGAGGAGGACCAAAGTGTGAAATTAAGTGTTAAAAGTCAGAGAAAAAGCAGACTGAAATCCATTTGCTTACCGGTGGCAACTTGGCTCCCTAATATACAAGCTGTACACGAGAGACTCAATTTTATTCAAAGAAAAAAATGTACCTTGCTTACTTTTGTTTTAACACACTACTCCTGAGGGGTAGTATCTGTGAGTAATGCAGCAGAGTAGTAAATTACTGGTTCAGTCTCCATATAGGAACCAGAGAAACATACAGATACAGGCCAGTGATGCTGGGACTTAACCGCTCTAGTGGATCAAAATTGTTTATCCCTGGAAGAGAAGCTTTGGCAAAAACACCTCTTTACATTCAAAAGGATGCATTTATTTCAGGGAGAAGGAGATTTGACCATTAACTCTTCAGAAGCTCAGACACAGAGTCTGCAAGGCCATAATAGAGCATTTCCTGGGTGCAATACTACAGACATAATGAGGCTTTGTCACCACAGAAGGTGCCTGTAATTTCCTCACGTCTCAAGACATTCTTCTACTAATTTTTCCTCATTTCCTAAGAGTACTGTTTGTGACATCACATGATCTACCAGTATCCCATCTCTCTTCCAGACCTCCAAAAATTACCTCTGAAGCAAACTGGGTCAATGTCGACTGAGTTGGAAGGGTCTCACAGATCAAGTTCTTTCTAATATCTACCAGTTCTCACAAAACAGGAGGACCTATTATGGTCTTAGGAGAGGCCTGTGACCACACAGCTTTTGTCCAGCTTGCTGGGTAGCAGACAACTGCCCCATGAGACAGGGCATGACAACATATCTTGCCAGAAGAGTGGAGTAGAGAGCATAAAGAGGAAAGCAGGACTTCCTGCATGATTCAGAACAGTAGAGTAGTGAAGAAATATGTCTCAGACTCAAACCTGCAATAAAGCTCTTAAGTATTTTGCTGCTTGTGGAACAATTCACTGAAACAGTGAAGTCTTCACAGCCTGCCCTCCTCTATTCCTACCAAGCTTAACTCATAGTATCACACAGGTAGTAGAATCACAAAAGGGCTGAGGCTGGAAGACACCTCTAGCACATCCAGCCCAATGCCCTAATCAAAGCAAGGTCAGAATAGCAGGCTGCTCATAGCCTTGCCTGGAGGCTGTTCTGAGTTCAACTGCACAATTTTCCTCAACTCTGCCTCTACATTCCAATCCCAAATACTCACTCTTATTCCCACCTCAGGCTCTTGACCCCTAAATCCTAGTTTAACCCTTTATATTCTCCAGCCTGGTCTTGCTATCCATCATACTCATCAGTGTCCTCACAGCCACCCAATTTTGCAGGACTCTTATTCTTTCCCCTACACATATCATTTGTCCTAAACACCTCCTATCCCTCCTCTTCAAACCTCCTCTCCCACCCAAATTCCAGTCTACCATCTTGGATTCTCCCTCTTCTTTTGCAGTTCAGTCCTTCCACCTTCTAATTAATCTCCACACAGCTCTCCTTCCTCTCCCAGCTGGGTTCTCGTGAAGAAGGTTGAAGCTATTCCCCCATCATTCCTAACTCTGTCCACTTTGCAAGCAGTGAACATGTGTAGTGGGATTGAACAATCAGATTCTCTGAGGGCACAGGTGCCTAACAAGGCAAAGCTGCAGCGGATAAGGAAGTCCTCTGCAGATCTGTGCTACTGTACACTCCACATCAACACTCTACAGGCCTTAAAATTTGTAACGAGTTCTAGCACAGAATGTTAAAAAAACTATTTCCTGCAGGCTCCAAGACACTATCCTGTTAAAGGTGCAGTGAAAAACACAGCTCCAGCCCACCCCTTTAGCCAAATGCCAGTGTCAAGCTGCTGTCCCACATCATGAGAATCCTAGAAATTTTCAGAGAAAGTCTCCAGACTCCAAGCCAAGCAAACAACATTTTGTCAAATGCACTCTCTGCAACTGCTGAATCATGTTAGCTCAAGTCTTCCCTACAAAACAGGATTTATTGGAACGTAAGATCCTGGCTATCAATAAAGATTCCAACTTTAATTGTTCAGACTAAAGTTATGGGCCCAAAGAAATACATCTCACAAGAGCTGCCAGGCACCACCCATGTTTACAGAGAATTAGAAGTGAAAACACTGCTTATCATATCTTTACCTTTGATTCAGCATACTCTGCAAAAATGACAGCTATCCACGTAAGCTATGTATGGAAAAGGATTGCATTCCAAGGCCAACAGAACTTCCTCCCTGTTTTGGAAGTCCTGTGCATTAAATGCATTTGCTTACAGCACAATTTCTAAACATCATTAGCTCCTAGTGTCACCTGTAACATTTTCCCTCAAACACCTGAGTGATGCAAAGATTTCTCAGTAGCACCCCTCGCTGTGCAAAACAGTTCAGGTACTAATTACTGACTTAAAACAGCAAACTCCCATTTCCCAGGGAAGAAGTTGAAGTGACAGGGGAGTTACCGGGTTACTGATGGTCTTCCGTGGTCCATCCAAGGACATCATCTTTCCTCCTCCAGCTTAAGTTTGTCAGTTCTGTGTGACCACTGCTGAAGTGTACCTAAAAGACTCACTGGTCAGCAGCACCAAAGGAGGGATCCCTTCAAAAAAAACCAAAAACTTTTAATTTGAAAGAAACAAAGAGACTCTACATGAAGTAAAAAATCTCAGAGGTATAACTTTAAACAGCACAAAAAGTGATCCAAACATCTCTCCTTTCCACTAGATTAGCAGGCATTTTGAAATACAAAAATTAAAGGCTTGCTTAAAGAAATAAGGTGTCCCTCTAATAAGGGACGGTGTGCATAGGTACTCAACATCACCAGCAGCTTCTTGAGATGACAATACTGTGACAGAATCCCAGATAAAAGTCATGATTGTACAGGGAAACACCGACAACTCAGTGCCCTTCAGAGGGGCCCTAAACAGCTCTACATCTGCAGCTGACCCTGCCTGCAGGCAGGGAGAAGACACACAGTACAAAAGCAGTTTTTCCAAGACAAGCAAGCATTTCTGTTTCCTTTAATACTTCCTGTGGTATCCCCAGATTTCCCATGGCAGACAAGCCCTAGAGGCTGAACTTGCTTTTTTCATTTATCTTACATAAAGTTAAGAGATATCAGGCAAAGACATAGCAAGGAAGTAAAGGGTGGTTTATGTTTCTCCCTCCAACACATACAATCCCTTAACTCCACAAATAACTACAGTTTGTAAAACGCACAATGTTAATAAGAACTGAAACAACAGCTTGTGAGTATATCCAGCTATGTCATAATTTCTTTAGCAAATTTCTAACAAAGTGACCAAAATCCAGGGCCCAATTGGAACTACTAAGTAATTATTTCTTGCGCAGTCTGGAGAAACGACCTAAGGTAGCACACAGTCTGTGTGGTGATGGCAGGCAGGCAAACAGGGAAAAAGCCAAAGGTGAGTGTTCTAGCATCAGTACTGTGTGACAACTGCTAACAACATTAGAATAAGCAAAAAAAAAAAAAAAAAAAAATAAAAATAAAAAAAAATTACCTGCAACCAAACAAAATACCCAAGGTCAGTGACCTGTTCTACAGGGCCCTGAGGCTGATCTTCTGCAATGATTCAACAACAGTGGCCACTGCAACAACTGGCTTATCTTGTGGGAGACTTGCACCAGAAGGTTAGTAATTCTCCTACTTAACACCAGCGTCAGGAATGCAATTCAGATACCATAAGGTGTCTATGCTACATAACTGGTTTGCCCCTTTGATCTTCTCATGAGATACCACCATCAACTCACAAGAAGAATGTGCAAAGATGGGCAAATTCTGCTGCTTTCATTTTTGAAAGGAGGAAATTGAGACCAAAGCAAACAATAATTCCGTCTTTAGTATCAGAAAGTCCAACGGCAGACACACAAAAATAAAACCCAGAACTACACCTCTTCATCCAGCAGCTTACTGAGTTAACTTTCCCGGGTGTACAATCTA